TCCTGCCGCTTCCTTTCAGTGAAGTGGACTTTCACTCGTTCCACCCGTTATCAGCTCGAAGAGTAACACACGCAACTACTGACAGCTGCTGACGCTTCGTTACTCACCCACAGTAGTGCCCACACCGGGACACTGTTACATTGGCCTCAGGGCTCTAGGACAATGTCCTTATTCTTCCACTAAGCGAGGCTCACAACAATTCATACCACGTTGCTGAACGGGTCTCGAAGAAAAACGTGACGTCCTTAGTGCTTAATAACAAAAGGACCTTCAATAGGTCACCCCAAAAATCAACTAGCTTAGTGACGCACGGGCGATGGAGGTGTATCTACCCCATCCTCGTTATTGTTTTACAACTAGGACTTAATGATGCGCAACCACTATTTACACACCAGAATACATCGGGAACCAACTTCTCGAGTACAGTGGTATATCTACCCTAACCTGGCATCCATGATGTCCTGGAAGCTACGCTTTCGGTTATCGAGTACACCACCCGAATGCGACGTTGACAACGTCCCGAGGGCTACGCCCAGAAAACTATGTTTCCTGATATGGGGTGAGCCACCTGAGTCAGGCACTTACAACTGCCAGGGAACAACGTTCCTTGATGTACAGTGTACCACCGCCGCACTCGATGCTTGAAAAAGATTCTTGCTACCCAGGGAACAACTGATGCCAGGGAACAACTTAGAGATTGCTACAATTGTTATGGCGGCGACTTACCTGCCCCCAACGCTAGGAAATAGTGATACCTTTGCCGGTCCATGCACATCTAATAGAGATTCACTACCGGAAACGTCAAATTTGCCGAGTGTTTTTATGTTTGCCGAGTATATTCTCTCAGTCATTCGGCAAATAAATTCTTTGCCGAGTGTTGCGCTAAAAACACTCAGCAAAAAAAAAACACTCGGTAAAGAGTAGGTTTACCGAGTGTAAAAAAACACTCGGCAAAGATGGGGTTTGCCGAGTGTTTTTTTTACACTCAGCAAAGAAGTAAAATCTTTTTTCTAAGAAAGAAGGAGAAGAAAAAAATGAAAAAAAAACTTTACCGAGTGCTCAGATTCAGGACACTCAGCAAAGAAATAAAATCTTTTTTCTCGGAAAGAAGGAGAAGAAAAAAAATGAAAAAAACTTTGCCGAGTGCCCAAATCTAGGACACTCGGCAAAGGAAAAAATATTTTTTCTGAGAAAGAAGGAGAAGAAAAAAATGAAAAAAAAACTTTGCCGAGTGCCCAGATCTAGGACACTCGGCAAAGGAAAATAATATTTTTTCTGGGAAAAAAAGAGAAGAAAAAAATAAAAAAAAACTTTACCGAGTGTCCAGATATAGGACACTCAGCAAAGGGAAAAAATCTTTTTTAACCGGCCCCAACGGACGCGCCCTACCCTTCTCCCCGCACAGCCCCCTCACCTTCTCCCCGCGCCGCGTCCGTATGCCCCCTCCCCTTATCCGCGCACGCACACGCGCCGCCCCCTCCCCGCGCACGCGCACGCGCCCCTCCTCCTCCCTCTCGGCACCGGCGCGGCCCCGCCCTCCCCTCCTCCCTTTCCAGCGTGGGCGCGGCCTGCCCTCCCCTTCTCCCTCACCGAAGCAGCCCGCCCTCCCCTCCTCCCTCGCCGGCGCGGCCCGCCCTCCCCTCACTAGATCCGGCGCCTCCCTCTCCCGGATCCGGCGGCGCCGCCCCCCTCCCGGCCCTCCCTCTCCTGGATCCGGCTGCGCCGCCCCCCTCTCGGCCCTCCCTCTCCAGATCTGGCGGCGCCGCCCCCCTTCCGGCCCTCCCTCTCTAGATCCGGCGGTGACGGGCGTGGTGGTGGTGGCAGAGGGAGGAGCGGCGGATCCGGTGGCGTGCTCGTCGGCGTTCGCCGCTCCACGAGGAAGGAACGGGCGACGCGCGACGCTGGCGAGGACGGGCTTGGGCGAGGCTCGTCGAGGTGGATGGCACGGCGGTGGAGGCTCGACACCGTGGCTTCCTGGTGACGGCGAGCAGAGGTGGCCGCGGCGAGGGCGTCATAGCTCAGCGGCGTGGCGGAGTAGGAGCCCGCGATGGTCGCGGATGACGACGTCGCTGTGGTGAGCGGCTCGAGGAGGCGGCTTTGCTGGTGGCGCGGTGGTGGTGCGGCGTGGTGGGGCCCTCCCTTCTTCCCCGGCACGGTGGCGGCGGCGTGGATGGTGGTGGTACGGCGTGGTGGTGGTGCGGCGTGGTGGGGCCCTCCCTTCTTCCCTGGCGTGGTGGCGGCGGCGTGGATGGTGGTGGCGGTGCTGGTGGTCCGGGCGTGGTGTCGGCGTGCCTTTTTTTATTTTTTTGAAAAAAAAGTTTGCCGAGTGTTTTTTGGGCACTCGGCAACTTCTTTGCCGAGTGCCCGACAGAAAACACTCGGCAAACTAGCGTTTGCCGTTAACAAGGTTGTCGAGTGTCGTTTGCCTTTGCCGAGTGTTTTTGGGACTTTGCCGAGTGCCCCTGGCACTCGACAAATCTCCTGTATCCGGTAGTGATGATGTGTTCTGTAGTGTAGTGACGTGATTAAGTCTACAATGGTATATGGTGGCGACTTGGGCAACAACACGTGGAACAATAAATGATGGGATCGAGAGAGCATAAAAACAATCGAAAGGATTGTGTTGCTTGGCGCCGAGGAAATAGTGATTTTACAGTAATGCTAAGAATGGCACTACAGTTTAGGAAAATACATTGTGAAAATTACATCTTAGTAGGTGGAACTATATAAGCCAAAACTGAAGACGTATTTGGGCTACTTGAGAAATTTCAAACAAGGCACATCCATAGTGTTGTGTGTATCTAGGCGTGTTTCAGATGTTAAGTTGTCCAGATATATGTTTCGATTACATTTTTTATGTTTCCTGATATATATTTTTAACGCACATTTTTCCCTGCAATTTTTCCTTACTAGGGTTTGAAGCATACAGGGTCGGTGGTAGACTTGTAGTACAGGATATGAGGATCCAAACTCGTCACGCGCGCGTGGGGAAACGTGGCAGTGCCCCTTCCTGTAGTTTATTTACATGGTAGTAGTTGCCGTCTCGCAAAGGCAGGACGCTGCCCTAGGTGTGCGACTTGCCCGTCTGTATGGCCGTAGCCCGGCAGAAAGCTGCTCAAAGAATCAATCCCTCGTGCACGTACTTACCTGCCCCCAACGCTAGGAAATACTATAAATTGATCTGAGATTAACGCGCCGCGATACGTGTACAGATGAAATGCTAGTTAATCCGAATGGTTAACATTCTCCTATATCCGTGCATGCATGTGCTGAGCAGATGGGTTAAACCTAGGGACTTGGAGCCGTAAAGAAATGCTGAGCCGCGCCGGCCGGGCTTCTCAACATTTTACAGGTACCAAGCATCTTGGCTGGTTCCGTTGAACCACTTGGACTCCAGACAAATGATTTCGGACCGTCTGATCAAGCAACAGATGGCTTTTGGATGCAGATAGGTTTGGGGTACAAGAGAGTATTAATATGCACACACTCCAGCTAATTGACCTGCACGTTCTGCTTGCGCCATTGGCCTTAACTGTAGAGTCTAGGCTAGCTGTAAATCTCTTACGATTTGGTCGGTGGCTAGCAGTGGAGAACCTTCCCTTCCACCCGGCCAGAAATTGCTGGCCCTCACCCCTAACCGTTAGGCACGAGACTATAGAAGCAACGCCATTGCCATTAAAGTGATAATAAAAATAATACTTATCAGACAAGTATGGTCCCACATCCAAAGTGCATGTTAGAGTGCACCAAATGCAAACACATTGAGATAGTGTGATCCTAGAGAAACTAGCCACGATTTTCCTGGGATTTGCCTAGAAAAAGGTAACTACCAAGCTTATGTGACGACAGAACGACAAAATTTACAAACAAACTCGCAAAGGATAACTATCACGTTTAAGTGACGGCAAATGACTAGTTTTCGAACAAACTAGCAAAAGAATCGTAGAAAAACATTCACTTGGGAGCAAGGGATCCTGTCATGCATAGATATCAGTAGGTTGCCCTAGGTTGGCTAGGGTACCACCTTTGGTCATCGGATTAAAGGATAAATAGCAAGTAGGAGTTGGAAAAGTAGGTAAAAAGAGAAGACATAATGAAAAGTATAGATTGGTTTGTGCAATTATTGTCCTCTGCTTAATTGGCCATAGAAAGTTATATATACAAGGGAGTGCACTTATCTCGTGAGTGGTCGAAAACCCTTAGATAACGTTTTAAAACACAACTCTAACTTTGATTTGCTTGGCCAGTTTTGGAACCATGGGATGCATCTTCCCAAGGCCGTAATTCCCTCGTCAGGACCATAAATTGGGCGATCTATTTATGCATTTCGACCATCTTTACAGTGGAACACAATGGTGAAGTTTATTTTTTATTTTTGGCAAACTTAACAAAACTAGCTCTGGAGCCAATTTTCCTATATCAGCTTTCTTTGGACAATTTTGACTGTCAACATATGCCACCCTATTTTCTTAGTAAGTTGGCCTAAAAAGCATCTTTAGAATCAAAATTGACTCATCATATGACATAGTACAAATTAGTATAATCAGATGCACAATAAAATATATTTTTGTAGTCTATTAATTTGGTGTCATAAATGTTGATATTTTTGTCATAAAGTTATCAAATTTACAGATGTTTGATTTACTTTTTTTCTAAGGTTTTGTTTGGATGCACATATCCACCTCAATTTTCATGTGTTAAAGTAGATTGAAATGAAATTTAAACTAATTTCTACTTCAATTGACTCCAACACATATGAATTGACGTGGATACATGTGCACGTTTATTTATTCACGTACTAGCTAATAAATATTATATGTTCACTGAACCCGTACACTATGGCTGGCATTACTCCTAAGCTACCCTATATAAAACCCTAAAAGCGCTCCTGTATCCTGGAGACCTGGACCAAACCCAACACACACACATCACTTAACACTCATTGTTTCACTGAGTGTGCCGTCTAATTCACTGACTGCTCGAGCATGAGAGCCAAGGCCATGAAGGCTGCAATGGCGACATGTATGCCGCGGCTGGTACGCGGAGGCGGCTGCCGCGTGTCGACGGCGCGTCCGGCAGCGTCGGTCTCCCTGCTCGAGCGCATTCGTGATGTCGTGCTCCGGCTCATCATGCTTTCCGCCGTATCCAGGGCCTCCACGCAGCGCACCAGCAGCAGCGGCAGCGGCAAGTCGTCCAAAGCCTCGTCGCCAGGCGATGCCAGCCGGCACCGTGAATCTGACGCGTGCGTGGCAGCGGCAGCGGCAGCGGCGTGCCGTCGGGACGACTCCATCATGAATGAGGCCGTGGAGGACTGCATCGAGTTCCTCAAACGGTCCTCGGCCGAGGGCGACGCCGCCAAGCTCTCCACTGCCAGCACCGCCGACGCCAAACTGACCGAAGTAGGTGGCGAGGACAAAGAGACCGGGGCGTTCTTCATCCTCAACGTCGAGGCACGGCGTGGGGTCTCACCGAGCAGCGGGTGTAGAGAATCAATATAGGACAGGAGAAAGTTGTTCAGTTTGTTCTAGACCTTGTTTAGATTGGGGTTTAGATTGGGGTTAGGAATCAGTATTTTGCACTGTAGTATTTTCGTTTGTATTTGACAATTATTGTCCAATCGCTAAGTAGGTTCAAAAGATTCGTCTCGTAATTTACAATCAAACTGTGTAATTAGTTTTTTTTTTATCTATATTTAATACTCCATGCATGTGTTAAAGATTTAATGTGACGAAGAAAGAGGAAAAAAATTTGCAATCTAAATAAGGCCCTAGTGTTTTTTTTTCCATCGATGATCTGTTGTCATCTTTTGTGAATGATTCGCTTTGATTCCTTAACAAATTAAGTGCGTGACACAGCGAAGTGGCAAGTTAATCGGTGTGCGTGTCACTGTTTTCTTTATTTACTTCTTTATTATGGGGTTTGAGCTGGAAAGAAGGGAAAAGGTGAGAACAACTATATAACAAAGTGTCCATGGAATTGGACGGTGTAGTAGCTTTTAAGCGGAAATTATTTTCATTGTTTCTCGTGTAGTGCGCTTTGTGCAGGAACCAATACTAATACCGAAACGGTATTTATGGACGTCAAGGATTTTTTTCCGCTCACGGTTTTTTTTTAAAAAAAGCGCCAATAGAAAACAAAATATAGGACTATGGTTATGATGAACCGTAAGCGAAGATACATCTCTATTAACAGATTTTCTAAGGTTACTGTTTGGGGGTGGAGCCTTGTGTCTGAAGGTTCACTAATTGCATTTAATGTCACTTTGCAAATCTCATGACCACAGGTATGCAGTGAAACCTCTGGTGGTAAGAAGGCCCACTAGAAGACCATCCGAAGAGATAGACGGACTGGGTCTTCGTCCAGGAAGAGGGCGGCCCTTGAGTTAGGGGTGCTCAGGCTGGGCCAGGGTCTATGGCGGGCCAACTCCAAGGCTCGACAATGCCATTTAGAAAGACGGTTGGGTATGTAAAAGTCAGTCAGGCTATTGATGCCTTCTACCCTCTAGAATGAGGAAGATGCCGGAATATGCTCTATCTGGTAGAGGGCAATTGTGTACAAGTGAATGTGTGTAACCTTACCCTATCAAAGGGGGGCTCAAAGTCCAATGTAAGGGAGAGATCATTGTAGCACATCAATCAAGAATATGTTGCCTCGGTACTTGCATCCGAGCCCACGAAGGCCTTGCCTTTGGAGCAACAACCTTCATCAATACAAATTGTGCAATAACGAACCTAGCTATTTGTCGGTGTTTTGTCAACCGATAAGTAAATTTATACATATGTCGCGCTGCTCTCGGAAGACGATGGTAGCATCCAAAGACACAAGGAGTAATACTGGTTCAGACCAGAGCCCTACGTCCAGTCTTAGGGAGAGTTCGAGTGCGCGTTCCTCGGTTGAATGCTAAGTTCTTTGCAATGGGGTGTGTAAGAAGAGGAAAAGAGGTAGGAGAAGCTAGGTGGAGGACTACCCGAATGAAGTCTCAAGAGTTCGTCCCCCTGGAAGGGAGGCCTGGCCGCCCTTATATAGAGTCCGGGGGCCAGGTTACATACAAAGAGAGAGGTTCTTCCGACCGAGTGGTCGTGAGCCTGAGGGAGGGAGAAACAAGCTAGCTTGGCTTGCAAGGAAGGCCGTCTTGTCCTGGTGTCGACGAAATATGGTCGGCAGTCCACCGAGGGGGGTGCCCGTGGTGGTAGATTGTCGGTAGATGGTGCGTGTAATCTGGAACCAGATGGTCACACAAGGCGCAGAGACAGCGATTTAGACAGGTTCGGGCCGTCTGATCGACGTAATACCCTACGTCCTGTGTCTTTGGTGTATTGTATTGAGATGTATGCTGTCTGATCTCTATGGATCTAGATGGATCTGTCCTCTAGGGGACCCTTGTCTCTCCTTATATACTCCGAAGAGACAAGGTTACAAGTAAAGTATCCAATTTGGTGCTATTATAATATCTAGTACAACTTATAATCTTGATGTGCACGCCTTGATCTTACGGGCCGGGCCACCTTGGATGGTGCGGCCCATGTACCATCTTGTGGTACCCGGGGGTCTATCCCCCACACCTGGCGTCATCGTACATCCAGACGTGGTTGTCCTCATGGTCTCGTGCCCACATCACAGCATGGCGTGGCGTGATGCTACAGTGCCTGTCGTGACGGCACTGTTGGCACGGTGGTGGTTTGCCAGCTGACCTGTGCGACGTGAGCTTGTTGTGGCCTTCGTCATCGTCTCCTGGTGGCATCGTGGCGACAGTGAGGGATTAGGTAGCCGCTCTTGGGTCGTTGGTCGCCTTGCTGGTCCTAGTGCCGGTGGCCTCGATCCCAATTTGTGGGGTTGAGGCCCTTGTTGGCTTGATCGGTCTTGGAAGTCAAGGGTGGGGTCGTGTGCCCCCTCCCGTAGTGGGCAGGGTCATACAACTGTCTTGTCGGACTGTACTTGGATGGTAGGGTGCCGTACCAGTCGTTACCACCTGGCGGTGTTGTCTTGTCTGCGTAGCATGGCGCAGGAGTGGCGTCTGTCCTGACTGAGGGGATAGCTGTCCCCTCAGTCCTAGCAGAGTGATTGGGGCATGCCTACCCTTGTCAAGGCTGGCGCACTTGGTGGGGCTCGACGTCTCTCTGTTCCTTCCCAGGGGTCGAGACGGAGGAGAGGTCATGCCGTGCCGTGTTTCATGCAGCGGAAGGAGAAAGGAGAGGTCGTGGTCGACCGCCCGCGTTAGTGTATGGCCTAGGTCCCGCATGTCTTAGATGGGCCGCGATTGCTGGACTTTTGCTTGCTAGACCAGCCCGAGAGGCTAACTAATCGATGTCCTGAGATACCCAGTGTATCATAACCCCAACACTATTACTCCATCGAGATCCCCTAATCCCAACAGTTACCATCAATACAAATCATCTATATCTACCGTGATTGTTGTCTTCAACCCACCACTACTATAAATTGGACTTACAGTTGTGGTAGGTTTACAATTGTGGTAGGCTTAGGCTACTTAACGTTTAGAGTGGTTTGCATACCTTTTGCCACCTGGTGATTGTGTACACCACTCTTGTACACTAGGGGCTTTGTAGTCTTGCGAGATCACACCAACTCTGTTTGTGTTGTAGCCACCTGGGTTATGGTTACACTTCAAGAATGTCTGACCCGCAGTGTTTTGGCCAAAAGCATGATATTGAAGACGGAGGGTAGCGGTTTGAGGGAAGGACATACAGAGACCCACTTGCGTGTTGGCAAGGCCCGTGGGCATTGTCTACTTACCCGACCGAGAGCTAGGCCATTGCAAGGGGCTCCAATACTAGAGGGAAGCGTGAGCTTCTCGATAACTCAGAAAAAATACTTTTATCAATGGGAGTTTGCATCTCTATCTCATTTAAGCTTTCACAGTTTACATGTTTTACTTGGATGTGTGTTTACTTTACTAGTTTAGCTTGCTAGGCTAGTTGATAGGATTGGAACCTAGGTTGGGTAACTTTTTTGCGGTAGAGATAGCAACACACTTAGCAAAACCATAGTGCACATTTAGATCGATATCTTGCATAGGTTTTGGTATGTAGAAAATAGAAGCCAAGTTTAGCTTTTACAAAGCCTAATTCACCTCCTCCCTCTTAGGTGTCACGGTCCCTTTAGGATGCATGCACAATGGAAAATAACCTTGACATTCCTTTTCATGGAGACAAATGACACTGGACTAGCCATGAATTGAGCTGGCAGGGAGGTGAGTGAGTGGCAGCGAGATCCAGCCTTCTTTGGACTGCCACCTTGTTAGCACCACTCGTCGCTGGTCATACAAGGGGAGCACAATAGGATCTAGGGCACCAGAGTTGTTAGGTGGTGGATTACATCTATGTTGTCCACCAAATAAACCAAACCAAGTTATGGTGGTGAAAAGAAAGACAAATCAATGGACCATGATCTATTCTTTACAAGAGATTGAGGAACTAGACAATGCACCTTGCGAATTCGGGATAGGTTGGATATTAATAGAAGGGGCGAGACATTGGTTTAGGAGAAGGCTAAAGCCTGGTCCAGGCTTCTTCTCCGTGGTATTTGCTGGGTTCTGGTGGAAGAGGGATTGATCAGGTGACATTTACCCTCCCCAACTACCGGCCCGATCTATAGACAAAGATAACCTTCATAACATGGAGCTAGTGTTTCACCGAGCAGTTTGGAGAGATGGTGGAGGTGATGTGGCCATGGATGGGGCGGACATTGAGTGCGCGACGTTGGTAGAGGGAGATCAACGACCAGTAACATCACACTTTTGTGCACTCACATCCTCCTTTGCTGGGCCGTGGATGGAGGAAGGAGATGTTGACTTATGTGAGCTGTAGTAGAGGCACAGTGGCCCATGGCCCATGCGCTGTTGCTGCCAGAAGGGTATAAGGTTGTGGCAACCAAAGAGAAGGTGATGGGTGGCAATGCGGGGATGGTGGGGGAAGGACACGAAGAAAGAACCATGAGGAAGAGGAAAAAATTAAGTGAGGGTTGTCCCTATGGAATAAACATGGGCACCTGTCGTGGACGTGCAACACGTGTCCATACACACAGGGCTGGACAAAAGGCTCATTGAGATGGAAGTCTTTTTTGTTTTAAAATAAAAATGAGTTGATTCTAAGCGACTTTCAACTTCGGCTTGGCTCGTTAAGCTCAGTTTGAAGTTGGGTTTCAAATAATTTAGGAGGTCATGACAAATAAGATTATGTCAATATTGAAGAAAGCTTGAAACAAAGGAAAGTTGGCTTGTTATCTATGCGCATGCAAAGGGCCGTATCGTATCGTAAGTCAGGAAGCCACCGCCACCACCTAGGGTAGAGCCGCCACCACCTGTCTGCTCCTCGCTCCACCACCGCCACCGTCGCGCCTAGGGCCCCATCATTCTTCCTCTCCGGTGAGTTTGCCGGAGACAATATGGGGTGGGGACCTATCCTTTCCTGCAGTTTTCTAGTGTCTTAGGGTTGAGTCCAAATAAATTTCTAACGAAATCAGATGATTTTTAGTCGGG